AGGGTCCACAGAAGCATACCATAAGACATGTACTTCTAGCACAGAACATTAAAGGGGGTGCCACCCACCAGGGTTAATATACCTTGCTCTCTACAGTATAGCAGTCCTTGGAGACCAGAAACTGCCCTCTAGGAAAGGGTGCCAATCTGCAATTGATGTCGGGCTCCAGGGTTAAAAATGAAACACCGGGCCCATTTCATCACATATAATTTTATATTTGCCTGGCTTGCCAGTCATTGGCCTGTCTTTCAAAGACCTCCTGTTTCAAAAGCTACTGGCTGCATCTTCCCCCCTAGCAGGATCTTTTCCTTTTATAACTCCTTTTTCTTTATTTCATTCTCCACTTTGAAATTCCCTAGTGTCCTTTCTTCCCCAAATGCATTTGCTTCTCTTCCTAATCTAGTCAGATCATAAATGTGGCACAAAACATATAAAAATTTATTAAAATGTGGAAACTCTTTGACTCTTAAGCCACCTCAAATATAATTTGCCTGAATGGTGCTGAAACTTAATATCCCTTAAAAAATTTTTTTTTTGATAAAACTGTCATAGCTGACTTTTGATATTGAAAGCAAATTCTATCTGTAGATATAAGTATTCCATTGGGGGATTTATGTCACCAACTTCAAGCACAAAGCACATAGCCTTTCTGGAATCTCCCTTATGTATGTGACCAATCACAAGAGCATACACTGAAGAAAATTCAATTTCTCTGTAAAATTCCTTCCAAATACATCTAGCATCCTTGTTAGCTCCAAAATGGCGATGGCTCTGGATCACTCTCCTCCCAGATCAAATCACAGAAAATGGTCTGGATTGTTCTATCATACTGTCGTGAAATTAGATGAAGTGAATATTGCTTAAAATATGCATTCTGGGCCATGTGGAACTGTTATTCATATTGTTGGCACAGTGGGAGTGAAGTGCAAATGTGATAATGTACGGGGGGGGTGGTGCTCTGAGAATTGTAAAGAGCAACACAAATGTGAGGTAGGCATTTTATCCTCAAATTGCTGAAAGTGTTTTCTTCCTAAGGCCAGGCATGGTGGATACCAAGCACATAGTGTTTCGAGAAGAGGGCTATGCCCATGATTCTTTGCTTTCCTGCTTCTTCTTTCTTTCATTCTCTGGAAAGTCTGTCTGGACTAGTTCTAGATGCCTGGCCAGCTGCTGGAACCAAGTGGAGGACTTTGCTTGGAAAGGTGACATCACCTCTCTAAACCTTAGCTACTTCAAGGGACAATAATACTTAGAATTATGAGGGATATGTAGGCAAAGTGCAGAAGAGCTAGGCACAGAGCAAACTCAACAAATAGGAACTAAACAAAATTGACAAGCTGGGAAGGGCCCCTAGAACCCATCATTGCCTCAGCTCTGGCCAAAGACTTTCAAGAGCCCCTCAAACGGCTGGAAAACTACTTCCTCGTTGCAGAGAAGACCAGGCTTCACAATGCTGAAATCACTAAAATACAATGGGCTGCTCTGTCGACTGCTTAAGACAGATAGCATTGCCCCTTTTTGAAGGGTGCAGTTTCTGGGAAGTATGGGAAAAATCTCTAGATGGTTCTGTGCTGTGAAGCTCTGAAGACCATGGACGTGGACTTGCAAATGAGATCTGCATATGCTAATGATCTCTTGGCTTCCCAGGCACCTGCCTGGACAGGTAGAGTGGTGAAGGGAGCGTAGGAAATGGAAGCGGATGATAAAAGCCAGAGGCAGCTGGATAGAAGCCAACCTCAGCCAGACCACCAGCTGTCCCAGCACCCAGGTCTCCGAGCCCCACTGGCACCACCTGTGGGTGCCTTGGCTGCAGCAAAGGAGCTAGGTTCTTTCCGGCAATACTGCCTCGTTTTACACATGGGGAAACGGAGGCCAGAGAAATTAAGCTCCTTCTCCAAGGTATCAGTGTTGGTAGCCTGTCCACTTTTGCTTTGTTTTCCCCACTGTGCCTGGTCTTCCATTTGGGCTCTGGAGAGGCAGCTACCCAATGTAGGCAGAACAGGATACATTACCAAGCACACCATTGGTCTGGAGGGTTTAGAGAAGATGTCTCCTAAGGGAAGATGAAGGGAGTTGTGCTTCCTACCAACTATCATAGTCTGATCTGGCATGTGTTGCTATATAAAAGGCAATGAAGTGTTCCAACTTCCCTGAGAACCAGCTCTGAGGAAATGAACAGGGAATAGAAGGGATTACGGTTAGATTTAAGGCAGCACTTTCTCCCAGGGATGATAATGTGGCCCTTTATTCATTAGCCAATGGAGGTAGTGGACTGGTCCCCCTCCCTCCCACTTCTGAGGCCTTTGGGAATCTATCGTCCAGTCTCAGTCTGCTTAGAGGGCAGGAAGAAAATGTGGTAGCTGACTTTAAAAAGTTTCCACCATTCAGGTAGGAGATCCTTCCCCTGGATGGGTCTTCTGGGCTCTTTGTGGAGGGTGAAGACAGCAGTCTTTCAGGCTCCGGGGCCCTGGGGGGGGGGGGGAGAACAGCAGTCACGGCATCTCTTGCAACACGCTCCCTGCCAAATTGATTCAAATTGGCTTGGATATGAACATATGATTAAAGGAGCTGCGTGATTCATTTATCAGGAGAGATTAAAGAGCGGCATCTGCACAGCCTAGCTGGGGACAATTAAGGAGCAAATCGCTAAGTGTCTGTGCCACCAGGCACGGGCATGGGGGGTGAGGGGGGGGAAGGACAACCTGGATAATCTGCCAAGGGGACGCAAGGACAAAAGGAACAATTTGGGGGTCACTGCCTGTTGCTGTGGTATCTGGGCACTATGGGGTGTCCTTCAGAACTTTGGTTCCCCACCCTTGCCTCTGACTCAGGAATCAGAGCAATCATAAAGGCTAGAAATTAGTAGGAAGAAGCAAGCAGGGCCCGGGGCAGCTGTGAGCCTGGCACAGGGACAGAGGGGCTTTGTTTTGTGGAACCACATGCATTTTAGGGAACCAGAGAGGTACTATGAATATTCTGGTGAGGGCAGGAGCTTGAAGAGCTCTGAAGGGGTACCCCAAATGAGGATAGGCTTTGGTGGCTTTATAGGCCTCTGGGAAGTTGGCACTGAGGGAGTTGTCCTTTTACAACCTGGAGCCCGGCATCCTAGCAAGAGATTTTGCTGAAGCTTCAAGAAGTATTGGTCATGAGGGGCTGTGTCTCCTGGCTCCCCCAGGTAGGGTTGTTGATTAACCTGCCTTTCCCTAACTGTCTCAGGATCCTTGCCTAAGGTCTTCTTTCTTCCCCATATCTGTCCTAGCAATAGCTACCTGTGGAATCATTACTCTACAAACCCCATCCCCAAATACTTTTTTAAAGATCGTTCAGTCTCCCTTCCCTCAAAGACATTCTTCTGATCTCCAAAGTACCTTCTCTGCCCTTCTGTCCTTGTTGGCAGCCTCTGGAGGACAGGCATTATGATTTACTCCTCTGCATGTTGAAGCTGACACGTACCAGCAGGTGCAGCAATATGCTTTGCGTGTTAAATCCTCACTAGGATAGCCATGTTCTAGGGCAAGGACTCTGTCCTCAGCACCAGGTCCAGGCCCATTCCACAGCAGCTAGTGAGGAAAGCTTTCTCAACTGCTGAGCAGACAGATAAATTAATACAAAAGTCTTCTAACGTCAGCAAAGCCTTTTACTCCAAGCTGAGTGTAGTGGACACATCTGTAATCCTAGCACTTGGGAGGCTGAGGCAGGAGAAGAGTTTGAGGTCAGCCTAGCCTAGGCAGTGAGACCCAGCCTCAAAAAACCAACCAACCAACCAACCCATTTTCACTGCCTTCTTCCGTTGTGGGGCAGTGGAGGGGCAGTCCCCTTTGTTCTAAAATGGATCCATTTCACATTTCCCTCCAGCTTGTTTTGGTGGTGATCTTTCCCTTTCTTTCCCTTTGGTTCTTTTTTGGGTGGCTTACATCACCAGAACCTTCTTCATCTACCAAACCATTTGATTCTTATGTAGAATATAACTGGTCAGTCACATTCAGGGGGAGGAGAAGGAGGGGGAGGAGAGAGAGGGGGAAGACAGGGAAAGGAGGAAGAGAAGAGAGAGGAAGGAAGTGGAGAGGAGGAGCTGGAGTAGTCACTGGTTTCTTGTTCATTTGCATAAGCTGCCCTGTATCTGTCAGAGAGGGGACAAGGCATGGCCCAGGCATACAGGCAGGACTGAGCAGGATATTTAAGGCAGTGCTCCCAGCCTATTCAAGTTGTCCTATGGCTAAAGAGGGATGAGGACCAGAGAAAATTCAGCCAATTTTTTATTTAAAAAGTTACCTTTGAGGAGGAGTTGGAGAGATGGCTTTAGTGGTTAAGAGCACTTAAGTTCTTCCAGAGGACCTGGGTTTGGTTCCCAGCACTCACATGGTAGCTAACAACTGTCTACAACTCCAGTTCCAGGGGATCCAATGCCCTCTCTGGCCTCTGTGGGCATTGCACATACAAGTACACATACATACATGCACGCAAAACATTCATACACATTTTTTAAAAAGTAACGTTTGGAGCTGGGCGTGGTGGCTCATGCCTTTAGTCCCAGCACTCAGGAGGCAGAAGCAGGTGGATCTCTGAGTTCAAGGCCAGCCTGGTCTACATAGCGAGTTCCAGGCCAGCTGGGGCTACAGGGAGACCCTGTCTCAAAAAGACCAAAAA